ATGTGATGATTTTCTCCTCTGAATTCAGCTTCTTGCCAGTCTCATTGTTTGTTTTGTGTCTTTATTATATTAAAGATACATTCTTACAGTGCAGCACTGCTGGGATTTCTATTTGTAGTCTGCTATATGCAGCACATCTAAACTTAAAACCTGTCTGTGCGTTTGGAAACTCCAGTCTGAGTTCTATAATTAAAGACAATAGGCTGCAGTCAAAGCGAATGAGGTCAAAGATTAGTCTCGGGTCGGGGTAATAAATTAAACATCCCATCCTAAATTATGAATTTTCTTTGAGGGTGGAGGACCCGGAGCTTCTGTATCTTTAATAGTGAGGAGAGAGATGGGAGAGGCTGCGCGCTCACGGCTCCTTTTCTCGCTCCGCGGCGTCGGGGACGCGCAGTGGATCCCACACTCGCCGGAGAGGAAAAAAGCGCCGTCGGACCGCAACAGCGACTCACCGGGAAAAATGATCCCTCCACCGCCCTTCATCAACGCTGTCTGCGAAAGTCATGTGAAAGGATCCGCGATATATGAGGACTCGAGTTTTTTCGACCATTAAACTTGTTTCAGAGGATTGTAAACTCCGGGAAGTGATTAATAACGCACGCGAATTGAAGTTAACATTGGACAGGTAAGACGATTCAGTAGTTAATGGGGCTGTAAATGCAGGTAAAAGATTATATAAGAAGCATCCAGATCTGAGCTAAGGTGTAAAACATCACCCTGTGGGTCAATCGCAACTCTCATGAATCACAAGGGCATCTGCTCATGAGTGCAAAAGCAATACCTCTGTGTAAACTGATAATGGGAATATTGCAATTTAACTCTTGCTGGAAGTAAAGTATTTGTAATCAAGTGCAAAAATAAAAGGTTTCATTATCCTAAATAGCGCCTGTTCGTCCGCACTGGATTGTGGAAACGCGCTCAGAGCAGGAGACCATCTGACCCTGAAATTGCTGCACAATCTGACACACTGTATATGTGCATATATGCTTTTATAACGTGCACTGATGTCCAAAACTTTCAACAAATCTATGTTGTTTTTGTGCATTGGTTAAAGTGAGACAAAAGAAAACTTTGCATGGGATGCTTTAAATCAGATTGCCTGACTGCAGCAGTATTCATCTGAGGTTGTTGTTGTTATCACTTCCAGTTTGTAATGCAATTTTGAGCTGCATCAAACAGAAGATGCCCCTTTAAAAAGCATAACCAACTCAGTATATCTGAGTAGATGTGAGATGCAAAAGCTTTTACCGTGAATTTCCGCTGGTGTAATGGACATAATGGATGCTGTGTGGATGTCTTATAAAGATCTGACCTTCGGCTAATGTCTGGTAATTGATGCTTGCAGGTGCAGAAAATGGCGAGACGGCTCCTGCAGCTCCTTGCCTTGTGGACTACTGTGGTCGGCATTGTGCAGTGTTGTCCAGAGCTCTGCAGCTGCCAGGACAAATTTGCCCAAAAGTTTGCTGACTGTGCTTACAAAGACCTGCTGGTTGTACCCATGGGTCTCCCCTCCAATGTTACCACCGTGAGCCTTTCTGCCAATAAGATCAAATTACTGAAGAGTAAAAGCTTCGTCAATATCACCCAAGTCACCTCTCTCTGGCTGGCCCACAATGAGATAGTCACCATAGAGACGGACACCTTGGCCCCCCTGATCCAGCTCCGCAACCTGGACATCAGCTACAACAAAATTGTGAACTTTCCATGGGAGGACCTGCACAACCTCACAGCACTGCAGCTTCTGAAAATGAACAACAATGAGATGGTGAATCTTCCAAAGGATGCCTTCTCCACGCTCAAAGACCTGAGGTCCCTGCGCATCAACAACAACAAGTTCACCACCATTGTGCAGGGTACCTTCAGTGCTCTCTCCTCCATGTCCCACCTTCAGATTTTTAGCAACCCATTCTCATGCTCCTGCAGCCTGGAGTGGCTCAGGGATTGGATCACGACAACTAAGATTTCTGTCCCCGAGCCAAAGTTAATTTCATGTGAGACCCCTGAGCACCTGAAGGGCACAATGGTTACAGCAATCCCCAAACTGGACTGTAACGCCCCTACTGTCACAATAACCTACCAGCCGGACATTGAGAGCACAGAGCTGTATGAGGGCTCCATGGTCATCTTGAATTGTGAGACAAAAGGGGACCCAACACCACAAGTCAGCTGGGAGGTGACTGTAGGAAATCAGAATTACCTGTTCCCCTTGCCCTTTACTGGAGAGATAAATGATGTGCCAATTAATGATAAAACAACCAACAATCGATTCCTCGTCTTTAGAAACGGCTCTCTCATCATCCCTCGGATGAGTAAAAAGGAAGATGGAAATTACAGCTGCTCTGCAGTGAATGATTTAGGTAAGCAGGAGAGCAGTGTTAAACTGGCTATGGCAGCCACCCAAAAACATGGCAGCGAGTCAAAGCCCGATTCTACAGTGGACAGGATCCGTCCGTCTGTTAAAAAGCCTGCGGACCCCAAGATCTCCAAAACCAGTCTCAACGACTTGACCAAGCCTGATGAAAAGATAAAGGGCGGCCCTGGGGGTCCATCAGGCAAAGGTTTTAACACGGAGCAGGTCGGTGGTGCTTCAAAGGACCCCACCTTTGCGAGCAAGTGTGGCGTGAGGGACAGCAGTGAGTACATCTCCAACCACGCCTTCAACCTGAGCTTGGATGACCTGAAGCAGTACACTTTTGATTTTGGTGTTATTGCGTTAGAAGTGTCCGAGACGGAGGCCAAAGTGCAGCTGAATCCGCTGCAGCTTCACAACACCAAATCTAACCTTCACCTGAGTCACACTGAAAACCATGAGACAGTGAACAAAGACGCCTTTGGTCTGTACCAGTCCTCATCCAGTAAAGCCACCCTGGACATGCTCTACCTCTGTATAAACACAGGTAACGGACACTCAATGGTTCAGTGGTCCAATATAGAGGAGGGGGTTAATGCATACCGCTTCCATGGTTTACAGCCCGGCACCAATTACACACTTTGTCTCACCTATGGGGGGCAGGACTGCCAAGTCCAAGTCGTCTTCACAACTAGGAAGAAGATCCCCTCCCTGCTTATCATCGTGGTTGTCAGTATCTTCCTCCTGGGCCTGGCCACTGTGCCCTTGCTGGGGGCCACCTGCTGCCACTTGTTATACAAATACCAAGGCAAGACCTACAAGCTGATCATGAAGGCTCAGAATCCGGATCAGATGGAGAAACAAATGACTGGAGATTTTGATCCCAGGGCGTCTTTTGTGGAGTCAGAGAAAACCTTTAACCCCAGCGAGTTGGGCGAGGGGGAGGGAGAGGCCGAGGGAGAGGATGGAGACGGAGAAGGGGAGGCTGATGGGAGCGTGGTGACAGAGTCCATCCCGGGATCCTCATCCAAAACCAACCAGGAGGAGTTTGAAGTGGGCTCGGAGTACAGTGACAGATTACCGCTGGGTGCCGAGGCAGTCAACATCTCGGAGGAGATCAACGGCAACTACAAGCAGCCAAGCCGCTGAGCTCCGCGGATGTCTGCGAGCACACTGTAAAATATTTTACTTTAAAGTAGCCTACATTCAAGCAGGTAACTCACCCACTATTACTTCACGTGAACAACGATGGCCTCTCATACAAAAAAAGGTGGATCTTTAATTTATTTTTTACTTCAGAAAGTACTCCGTCAATCACTCGAGATTGTGAATTGATTCATGTGACATTTGTTGTCTACTGTAAGGTTAAAATAAGCAACATGAGTTTACAATGCAAGCACAGGTTTCTACAGTTTTATAAGACCACAAAACTGACAAGGAAGCAGCAAAATGTTCCCTTTCTGCAGGACAGACACAGATGGGCACGGGGCTTAAATTGCGCAAACGGAGCTCGCCGCGCAACTGAAAACGATATTAAAAATGTAAGAGATCACAAAACACAAGCAAAAGAAAGTGCCATATGTTTTAAAGCCATTTAAAATAAACCTACATCAGGGACCAATTGCACTTCTGATCAGTGTGCGTCTGCGCCAGGATGAGGATGCGTCCATCTCCTCAGGTGTCGCAGATTTGGATATTTAATTCAAGATGCTGATTTTGGTTCCGGTGCTGACCTGCCCGCTGTCCTGTGAGTCCGAAAGGGACATTTCACCTTCAGCTGTGTTGTGCTTAACGGGAAACCCCAGGTTATTTACCAACAAAATGTTGTTTAACGTAATGTAAGGCTTTAAAAAAAAAGTGCGACTTTAACCTCTTAATCAACGGGTGCTTGCTATACTCTTTGCTTTTTACAATGAACGTGTCCATGGCATGTCACACGTATTTCCTTGTGTGGTTTTTCTTAGTGTAGTCTAGAGGACTTTAGATGTTACTGTCAACCTGTGATGTAAAGCCACGTGAATTTAAAATCATTCTCTCTTTTTTTAACGACGGTAAGTTTCTATGAAGCCTCGACAAAAAGGGCGCACTGACTGTCTTGTAATTGGATGCATATAGTGAGTTTTTGTGAACTGTTGTAAAACGAAACGAAAAACAAAAGCCGTGACCTTTCCAGATTTTTTGATATCATTTTATGTAAGTGGAATTAATAAAACATGAAACATATATGCAAACTTCTTTCTGGATTTGTCTTTGACTTTGCAGATTGAGATGTTTCCGGAAAAAATAAATATGATTTTCTAAATTTATCTGAAAGAATTAAAATAATAATTTGTTGCCACCAGATTACGTTTGAAATCGATTCAAATTTCAGCCTGGTTAATTCATTTTTATGCGTTTTTTCTTCTTCTTTTGATGCCCTTTTATTGTAGGAGTGTGTCTTATCCTATTTTGTTACAAAATACGAAAATAAATATACAAGCTCTGGCATTTTGGATAAGGTGTTTATGCAGAAGGCAAAGAAAAAAAAAACAGCGATGATGAACACAAAGCCTCCCTTTGTCTTCACTTCTTCATTTTGGCCCCGCACAGCTCACCGTGCATTTAAATGAACCTCCTCTAGAATGAAATATTCCAATCATGCAAATAATTAAAATAGAGAAAAACATTTGTTTCCGTTTTATTTTCACAGTAATAATCAGAAGGAAAATTCGGGTGTTCATATTTTCACTTAAACGTCGGCCTTTGAAATGCCAGAAAAGACAACAATAAGAAAACGCTGGTAGCAGCAAGTGGTTTTGGACGTAGAGATCAACAAATAAAACAGAAATTACAAACAGTTCAATTTTCCTGGTTGTTCCTATTCCACAGGTTATTGTTAATTACACAAAATGTGTACAGTTGAAAAAAAAAGAAATGTATCACATTGGCTATGAAAATTCATAAATAGTGAAACCCTCTTTAAAAGGATGCTTCATGGGGATGCACGTCCATGTGTTTTGTTTGGGCAACAACAAATGTGCATCATTATCTGCACAATGTGATAATAACAAAATATTGGAGAACAAATGTGATTAACATATGCAGGCTGAAATGTAGAGCAAACCAGTGCTATCCCAAAATAAGCACATTAAGGTGCTGAAAATGAGACATAATGGGTGTGTTCAGATGGGAGATCAGCGCCACACAAGCTCTCCCCTCAGACTGGAGACTGTGGCCCTCATGTATAAACCACCAGGGAGACACAAAGAGCATAAAGTGGACACACAGTCTCCAGACAGGCTCGGTGAATATCTCTACATGTGGCGCTGATCTATAAGTGCACTTATTTCAGTAGATGGGGACAAATGATATAGAATTTGCCCAAAACCAAAAGAGACTTTGCAGCCAATCCTTAATCAGGGTCACGTTCATGCTCAGTTGCTGGCAGCGGCCTCTGCCTCCTTGGTTGCTGCCTCCTTTTTGCTCCCCTCCTTGGCGCTGCGGTTGAGGCTTCCATTCAGAAAGCTCTCTGCGGTCTGACGCTGGAAGTGCTTCCTGGTGCCCACCAGGGAGGGGTTGTTGACCAGGGTGTAGAGGAGCTGCCAGTGCCTGCGGGCTCTCTTTGCACTGGACACTTTGTGCTGTTTCTTCTCCTGATGGACCAGCTGGATCCCTGAGGACATTCAGACATCATGATAGCACCAACGGTATGTCATGTATAACTCCTATCACTGTTTTTTTTTTTTTTATCATCATTGGGATGGTAAAAGACGTGAAGGCCACCCAGGACCAGCTACAGAAAGAATAATAATAGAAAGCAATCATATTCTAATCCTCTAAGCATGGTGGGAGCATATTGGGCATGCCATTAACACACTGAAAGCTTAAGCCCCCTGGGCTGCATGAATATGAAACAGGCAATTAGCGTAGCTCATCTGTGTAATCAGCTACTCCAGCACTAATCTTTACAATACAATAGATTACTTCTGATAATGCATTGTTCCATAGATGTAAACAAGCAACATCTCCCCAACACATTTATAATTAGACTAAACTGTGGCTACACCAGGCAGAGTTGAATTCCACCACAACTGATGAAGCCTGATGAATTTCCCTGCTAATTCCTCACTACGTCCTCTTGTCACCACATGTGTAGGCGACTATCACTCACTCGCTGTTTGAGTCAAAACCATCACTGCAGAAAAGCAACCAGCCTTAAAGTAGCTGTCCATGTTTTGTGTGAATTACATAAATGACACACTGGTTGTATAATGGCAACCTAAAGGAAAACGCTGTCTCCTGGTGACAGAGGCTGAAGGCTGAGGCGAGTGTGGGCACGCCATAAAGAACAGCTGATTAGTTTATGACAGATTTGATTGAGACCAGCAGCAGGACTGTAAATTATTCCGCAGCAAGACTCAATTTGCTCCTGACATATTAAATCTGAACGGCTAAGCTTTCATTTCTCCCGCGCGTGCAAGACGGTGTTATGATCTGATTATGTGTCACAGTGACCTGCCCCTGAATTCTAAACCTCTCTGGAGAAACTGAAGACGCAACACTGACTTTAATTTGCCGTTTATCTTTAAAGGATGAGGCTGGCCACATCCTATATTACTGTCATGAAAAGACCAAAACAAACAATAGGTCAATTCATCTAACATGCAGTACCGGTGATGCCAAAGCCTGACTAGCTTCTTCATCTGTGACATCGACCTCCATTGTTGTCCAAAAACTCTTAGAAACAACATCAATGACCAAACTGACTATGTTTACATGCACTCTAATATCCCCTTATTATTCTGAATTTGATGCAGGTCATGTAAAAAGCATATTCTGTTTGGATATTCCGAATTAGGCCTATTTCGTAATGAAACATTTTCCGATTAGACATGTGGGATATGCTAGTATTGTTTGGATTTTAATAGAATTATCTGGACATGTATACAGCGCATTTGGAATATGTTTCTTGGCTCGGAGTTTTTGCCACAGTTTGTGACACATGGCCTTTTGACATTTTACGGTCAGCTCGCTACATTGTCATGGATACACTGCACACAAACCAGCTAACCAACAGCATGTAAGACTAGGGTAACGATGCATGTCCAGAAGAAAAGCCCACATTTCCGGTTGGAAGAAGAAACACACCTACTTCTAAACATTAACAACATCAACAGGTTTTTGATTATGCAACAAATATCACAACGCCGACCTTGTCAAGAAGGTGGTTGAAGGAATGAAATAGGGAGGCCGTGTTTGCACATTTGAACAAGTCCGCCAACAGTGGTAAACTTAGCAAGACTCTAATTATGATGCAAAGAAGCCAAATCGCACACCCAGCTCCAGCTGTTCCACTTTCAAAATTTCAATGTGATAAACAACATGTAAGGGCAAATCAGTTGTAGTATGCACGGCTCCATGTTAACAAGAACATTAGTGGAATACTCATTTTCGTCAGCCATGTAAACAGCTTAGTGGGAATACTTTGTTTTTCGGAATAAGGGCAAAAACTGGAATATCTTGTGCATGTAAACGTAGCCAGTGAGTCAGCCTCTCTAATGAGTATAGTATAAAGAGCACTGGGTGACATGTTTTTATTATGATAAACACGGACACTGTAGCTTATTTTGAATACATTTGACATACACCATCCTGCTGCTGTAAATATTCAGTAGAGCACAAAATGTGTATTATTTTTATGACTAAAAATAGTTCCCGACAAATGCATTATTTACTACTATTTACACCTGTAAAAAATTAACTGTATATTTGTCACCTGTTTTCAGTAGGAATGAACAGAAGTCAGAAACTATGTATCCGCTTTTGGTCTTTTCCTGTGATTTGTTAACAATAAGAACAACAGAAAAACACCAGTCTTATCCATGTATGAAAACACTGAACCCACAGTGTGAGCTGAATCATCAGTACTTAGGAAATGAGTCGTGTTTTTGCAGAGTATGATGCAAGTTTTGTGCTACAGACCCTCCTCCGCATCCCGTGACCTCTGTGCAGCATTGCTCTCCTGGCCCACGGACTGCAGCAGCAGCATCCCGCAGAAGGCCTTCATCACAGGGTGCGACTGGCTCACCTCAATCTTCAGATAATGAGCATAGCAGCGGTAGGCTGCAGACAGACACAGGGAGGAGGGAAGTGGGGGGGGGGGGTCACTCTGACTGGGCAAAAGCAATAAACACATAGGACTGCACCCCATGTTGGCTTTGAGGCAATCACACATAATGGGCCATACAATCACACTTCTTTTTTTTTTTAGCCACCTGCTTTTCCTGACAACAGATGTCTTAAATCTGCAGCCATTTCAGAGATCGGTGCGCAATTACAGTCCCTTGCACTGCACAGAATACAGATATCATATGAGCCACAGTGAGCTGCTGGCAGGGTAAAGTGGAGAGGATACGCATTTCTGGCCTCTAAGTGGGATCAGTAAAAGTGCATTTGCTCATAGGAAATTGCTTCTCTTTAAGCCTTCACAATGAGAGTGGGAAAAAAAACAGTGGCGTTTGAAAGGTAAAAGCATGGTGTTAATACCAATAAATATGTTAACATCATGTGTCTGAGACCAAAAGGAAAAAAATCTAAAATATAATTGAGCATGAGGACTAAGGCACTGAATTACCTAAAATGTATTGTTGTGTTTTATTTGAACACAGAGGGGCCAAGGTACAAACTATCCTTTATATTAAGAAATGCCCTAATTTTGATGACATTGAATTTGACCTGATGCTTTGGCCTCACCGGCTTAACCATCAGTGACATTATGGCTCCATCTATAGAGTCCAAAATATCAATCTCACCTGGGTCAAATGCCTCAACGTTGCGGTTAAGCAGACTAATGTCCATGCGTCCCATGTGGACAATGTTGAACAGGGCTGTGATGAGCATGCGCCACACTGCCAGTAGCACGCCGATCAGAACGTTGACTGGGAACAGCAGGTACGTCAGCAGGAACAGATTACCCCTGTAAGAAAGGATACGAAGCATCAAACAAACAGGAAGATGCTGCAATAATCTGACAGCAAAACCATAAAAATGAGGATATGATACCAATCAGCAAATATAGTGGCTCACCTGTTGTCTAGGTCTCGTGTGCCTGCTGTTTTTTTGATGAAGCAAAACCTGCCGGTGATATGCTGAATCAACACGGCCAAGAGAATCATCAGCCAGAAGGGCCTGAAGGGACAAAGTCGACAATCATACATCTCGTGCAGCGATACAACAAAGACTGTTTTGTAAGTGACAGAGCAATATAAATGATCTAAAGCCATTACTGTGCAACATAAAACGCATGGAGCACGTTGTTGCTGTTGATTTGAAAACTGTTCCAGGCATCAAGTTTTCAAGAGCTGACACGCATTTTTGAGTTCATTCAAAACAGAGAAGTTTGATGATTCAGAGATGTGACAACGCTCACCACATGCTCCACAGGATCTGGAAGAGAATCAGATTCTGTCCGTGCAGCACGGGCATGATAATGAGGAAGACGGCGATCAGAAGGCACAGGAAGAACACCATGGTCTGGATGATCATGCCTGCAGGGGAGAGATCAGAGCTTCAGGGCCTCAATGCTTTACACCCCGCACACCCACTCTGCTCTCATAACACAGCAGAGGGAGGGATGAGCTATGACTTTCTCTTGGAAACCTATCCTCACATATAAAACACTGACAAATCTTTATTCTAGCTGAGTTAATGTTGCTATTACACATACAAACAGGAGGAGAACAGACAGTGCTATTAATACGGCATGAGGCTATTTGGCCTATCATTTTATCTGTACTCTATTTAGAGGTACAGTAGCCATATGAAATACAAAATCTAAGATATAGCCGAGGCTTCTGAAGTGATAAAACAAAAAGAAAAACAAAGGAGAGCCAAAAAATGTAAACATACTGGAAATACAGTTGGAAAAAAATCAGAATAATCTATATTCGTTTCCTTTAGCATTCAATATGTAACTGTACCAATGCACATGTGAGCTGCAGTGAAGCTGGTGTATCCCATCCAGCAGACCAGCGCCGGCCGCGACGCCCTGATGCTTCTCTGGCAGTTATAAACATTATATATATCTCCTCTGTACAGCCCCTTCAGGTTTGACCTACGGATGCAAAGACACAATCAAGACAATGGCAGCACTGCGCGGAACGCAAACAAATCCATCAATAAGTGCACAAATTACATAGTTAATTGAAGAGGTAATTTAGCTCTGGATACGACCGAAATGCAATTCAATACTCGACACAGAAGCTCATTTCTTTTAATATGATGTAATTTATGGTAATGGCACAGTATTTCATTTCTTATCTTGATAGCCATTTTCAATTCTAGCAGCAGTTAACACAGAGTGAATGCTGTTATGTCTGTCTGGATGATTAGTACTCTATTATGTTATAATAACTCCTCTGTGAACCATTACATTATAATGAAGGCACCAGAATGAGAAGCACGCTCGTGATACTTTGGACAGTTTAGGAAGAGAATAGAAAAAATAAGAAAAAGACAGCTGTTTTTTTGTTACACCTACCGATGCAGAACCATGGACCGCATGAGCATGGCCAGGTTGACCAAGCCAGACAGTGTCATCGCTGAGATATAGCACACTGCAGGGGACAAGAGAACAAGACATTCAGGTTGTGCACTGCGGGTGGGAGGATGTCATTCATTGACAATTAGCATGGCAAATGTGAAACAAGCATAAGACGAGGGACATGTTAATGTTCTCAGACTCTAATGTGATCTAACTATATAAAAACATGTATATTCTGCATCTCTCATGTCACTACATGGCTGCTTTGACTTTCCACTTTCACTCACCTTCTACACACCACATGTAGTAAATCACTATTCTGACCACTTCATGTTTGTCTGGAGACAGCATGATCTTGAAGCCAGCTAAAAGGTTGGCGACGTCTTCATTGACTCCAGAGCGAGCAGTCTGGAGAGTTGGTACCACGGCTGAGATCAGTAGAAGACCCACCTAAAAACAAACAAAAAACAAACCAGGACATTTATTCATTACTGGAAAAACTCTTACTCTAGCATGGTGATGTAACGGCTTTTACGGGTCTACTACTGATTAACAGGGGTGGGGAAAAGTCGATACAGCATAAGATCGCGATATTTTTGTGTGGCAATATTGTATTGCCACACAGTGCCAATATTGTATTGCCACACAGTGCCAATATTGTATTGCCACACAGTGCCAATATTGTATTGCCACACAGTGCCAGGTATAGATTTTTTTATTATATAAATCATAAATATGACAAATACAAATTCAAATTTAGGGCGCATACTAGAATAATATAATAAATTGATTTTCCAGTCCACAGGACACATTTTACTGCTGCAAAAAATGGCTGAAGTGAGATGAACAGACAGAATTTGATCTCATTAGATAAAACAGATGTTGACAAAGTTTTCCTTTGGGGATAGAATTTACCGTTGAAAAAAGAAATTAAATCAGAATATATCGCAATAATATCATATCGTGATAATATCGTATCGTGAATCTTCTGGTGATTCTCACCCCTACTGATTACTAGCCCACCAGCAAGTGAATACAGTGTGTAGTACTGGTCAACTGACTTCCAGCTGATATAACAGTGTAAAACATAGTTTCTGAAAGCGAGGCCCTTAGAAACATGTTGTGGCCCCCCACCATGACATGAAATGCATTCATTACATTTGAATTATCTGTGCTCAATTTTAATACTTTCACTCTCTTACATTTAATACACTGCTTGGCTACTGCATCAAGCTGCACCCCTCTAACAGGCATCTGTCAGGTCGGAAATGGCAACTTGTATAAAACTATTGGTCACATGGCAACTAGTGGCTCCATGTTAGTGTCACAGGAATTGCATCATCAATGCCAGAGCTGTTAGGTTAGCTTAAGTTAGCAATTTCAGTGGACAGCTCACAAGTGCATTTTTCCTGTACAGCCCACTCATGTACTGGCTCCTCAAATTGGCACTCAGTCATCAAAACTTTGAGAAAGTGTCAAAGTTGATATTTAGAGTCTGGACTAAAGATATTAGGACAAATTAAGGGTTTGGATTAATCAATAAAGATTCAGGTAAAACTTGCATATCTACTTTTTTATCGCCTGGTGGTTTTAGAAGTATCAAAAGTGGACTATATGCATGTAAGGTTTTAAGGTTTTATCACTTTGTTTGTATTATGCTGTGGATTCTGTTTGCATTATACAGTCTAATAGATATGACAAGTACCTGATAAAGGGTAATAAATGACACCACACCAGATATAGCCAACTTCAGTGGAAAACGGAAAGCTGTTTGAGACAAAAGAAAAAAAGAAGAGTTACACAAATTTAACAACACACAGGAAGGCATGAACAGACATAACACAAGATCGAGACAACATGTGTACCTTCCTCTGGTGTGTAAATGTATGACTTTACAGCATCCATTATCCTCTGAGGGAGCTTTGGGGTCTCTGTGCTCGATGTGCTGAGGTGAAAGGTAAACAGAGGAAACATTTGCGAATGAATGAGCCATAGTTGCCATCATCCTTAAATACATCAAATAAAAAAATATATGTATCTATGTATTTAGAGTCAAACATTCTCTCCAACTGGAAGAGAAGATGTATTACTTCATCCACCGACCACCACTGCATGACACGCTGGTCATTTGCATCGACTGTAGTTAGATCAATCCAAGTCTCTTATTTTGAGAAAAGAGCTCATAATTACACACAAAATGAAACGAGGCTTAAGTTAATTGTAATTTGCAAAACTGTGCATTGCCTTTTAGCTGAGGAGACAACATGACATGTAGTAATGCAGCAAATGAGTTGTGTTCCTGATAACAGGCTGTAATTCTCACCTGATTTTGGCGGGCTTCTTCTCCTTGAGCATTTTCTTCACGTAGTCTTTGTAGTAGCTGCTGCTGAGATCCTTAAAAAAGTGGACAGCAACCATACAAGAAACCAAATGTTAATAGTGGAATTAACTAGGGCCACAAATGCTTCAGTTGGGCCTCCATATTCATAACATCCTTTGGAAGTATGAGGCATTAGGCATTATTGTTGGAATTGGAGCTTTATTTTGTAATTATTAACATGTGAAAAAGCACTGACCACAAACTAAGCCTTTTTAAGAGGAGAGGTCACCACCAAATAAAAAGTACATATTTTCCCTCATACCTGTAGTGCTATTTATCAGTCCAGATTGTTTTGCTTTGAGTTGCTGAGTGTTAGAGATATCAGCAATGTCTGCTTTCTCTCAAATATAATAGAACCAGATGACTTTTTGCTTGTGGAGGTCAAAGCGCCAAAAAGATACATTTGAAAAACTGAACAGCAGTGACCCAGTAAGATCGGCTTGACCCCAGTTTGTCATCCAAAATATACTACATGTGGCCTACTACACAATATTGGTTAACCAAGCAAGTTCAATTTGCCTTTTTTCCATTCACCTCACAATGGCAGGACTATCATACAGTTTGTAGACATGCATCAAGCAGGAACTACGCTGAGCAAGCTAATGTTTTTTCATGAACAGACAGTAAACAAACTAACAAATGATTACCTAAAAGTAGACATTTCCTGCTAAGTAGCAGACATGGCCACAGAAAAGGAGCCTAAAGTCGACAGCAAGGGCCGCCACTTTCAGGAGCAGTGGAAAGATGGATAGTTTTCCACTCAAAGATGAAACAGTTGTGTTTGTGTCATTTGTATGTATTTGTATGTGTGTGTGTGTGCATGTTTTATAACTCATACAATCTGAGAAACAGCTGGTCCCTAGGTATCTTCACATTATGTTATCGGGTCCCTGTTCAAAAAAGTTTGGATAGTCCGGCTCAAGATAATCCACAGACCTTGTTGTGAGCAGTTTCATGTAGGAACTATTTCTCTTTCTACCAAACTAAACCAACCGTAACGCTGCACAGAAGGAAGCGTGCTTCTGCGAGGTCACCTATCATCACTGAGCTATATGAAGTTACAGCTCAGCTGAGGAGGATGCCATTAATGTTTACATCTCGGTCTGTCCATGAGTAGATTCGTGCTTCCTTCTGCACAGTGATGTGGTTGGCAGTTCCTACATGAAACTGCAAGGTCTGTGGATTATCTTGATAAACTGGGTCATAATTTCTGGGTAGAGACATTGCTTTTAAGTTTTTCAAATACATATTTGGTGCTTTGAGCACCAGTGTCATCTGGTTTTGTTATATTATAGAGAAGGCAGACATCTCTCATCTCCGATATCTCCAACACCTGAAAACTTACACCAGAACAATCTAGACTGATAAGCAGCACAACAGATAAACTGGCAAATTGTCCCTTTAAAATAAGTGTATCTGTGCAGATTTATGGTGTCAGGTAAGTTGCTGTGGGGTGTAGGGGAGTGTGGAGGGAATGGGAGGGGGCGGTGTAAACTCCAGGCAATCGCCTCACCCAAGCTTTGTCACACCCACACTGAGATTAGCATCAAATAAACACAGCATTGTGCGTCCTCGGTGAAAAAACAAGGCAACCTTTTCATAATCTGATCAAGAACACAACATAAACCAATTACGTCAAATCTACTTAAAATGATTAGACCAGCATGCTGCGTTGGACTTCACATTTTCCCTCAGCCTAGACTGTATGAGCACGATAAGCCCCTTGATTAGCAGGCAGCTTATAAATGTTCCTCACGTGCACAGATTCAGAAGAATTGTGTGTCTTAGAAAGATTTTTTTTAATAGCTCAGGTTTACATGAACGCAGACTATGAATCAACATGGACACTTGTCATTTGTTACGTAAGCAGGCCAAACAATTAATACTATAACGGCTGTACAACCAAACTGAAGCAGACATGACAAAGGGTCAAAACTTACCTCTGTGGCATTGTTCTTTTCAGTGCCCTTTAAGCCCTTGAATAGAAGCAGGGGATACTGGAAACTAAGGAATGCCAAGCAAGCTATCTGGGGCAGGCTGGAGAAAAGGGAGTAGTGTTTGTGTATCTGCAAAGGAATAAAAGAAGACTTTTAATCACCTAACAACTTGTTTTGGGACTTCTGGAGTGACACATACATGTTAAAACTGACACAAAAAGGGGACACAAATGGTTTTGTGTGTTGTGGTGGGAGTCATATTGGCCAAATGGGATCCTGAACACAACACAAACATCTGAGACCTTCACTGACCAAATAGTTACGATTTAGTGACAGAGAAATTGTTCATGTATTTAAAGTCTTTCAGCTTAACTTATACACCTAAATACTGGGATTTAATTTTATGATTTTTTCCCAAGTTTTGAAATAAATAGACTCAATATAATATTTAGTAAAATGTACTCTTTGTCTTTATGTGATGAGGCGTAGTCATGCAGATCAGCTCAAATGCTCCCTGAAGCGTTTGGCGTGTGCCAGCTCATGGTGGGATAAAAAGACAGTCATCGCCACTATTAGAAAAAAACCCATCCAAAGCCTGGATGTCTCTTTTTTACTGACACACTATAAACGGATTAACTGTGACAAAGCCTCTTGATTAAGACCAACAGACAGTGGAACTAATTTTTTTGAGTCATAGACATTCATTGCTAAGAAAACCCAAACACTGTGGATGTGGCACAAAATCAGGGATCAAGTATGGTTGAAAGCTCCGACCATGTGTCAGTGAATCCATTTGAAAGGGCTTGATATTCATCTTTTCAAATCACATCTCCCACTTTTGCTACAGACCAGCTTTGTTTGGTAATTAATGGGTTTCCAGACCAGAACAAATCAGCTTTGTCTTTGAAATAATCCTTAAAACTCAGACAGATGACACATTACAAAGAAAGTGATGATTAATCCAGAGGCAATCTAGACCATCTAAATCTATCGTTGTTGCATAAAAGCAGTTATAGATGTTGTCTTTGCTCACCAGAGGTGTTTTGGGACAGTCGATTTTCTGCCAGACCAGAACACCAAAGTGCGTCCATGACAAGAGGCTACCAAGTACATAGCCCACTTTGTTATGTAAAGTGCCGCATGCCAGGAGAGGGTAGTATAGCGCGGGGTAGTAGAAGACTCCCAGAATCACCCAGTTCTCTGCGAATACAAAATAAATGTGTGAAGGCCGGCATTTAATGAAACATGTGACACAAGACTGAAACTTTAACAGCTAATTCTGCTTCATTCCTACACTTAACACGACTTTCCCTAGAAATTACAAGTGGTTTAAGATCTAACTCTGCTCCCTACTTTGCTGAACCTTGTACTGTTTGGGGATTGTCCTTATCCTTACAGTCAGTTCTTATGTAATTTCATCACAGCAAAAAAAGGCTTCTTGTAAAGCTTAGTCGAAAAATAACAGACACATGGAAACATAATAATCCAATTACATTACGGATATTTAACAAAAATAATGTTTATGTCTATCCTAAACTACCAGGATAAGATTAAAACATGGCTCTAGAAGATTCACACTCATGTAAAGAAAATGAAAGCTAGAGCAGGAGGAACCAAGATGACCTCCTCACGTTTATTCTCTGTGTCTGTCGTGAAGGGGAGCGGGTTTGGCGATATGATCAGGCCCCACAGTTTGCACAAGAGCACTCCAAACACAGCCACTGCAAGGCCCTTGTGCTGCGTATGATCCAGGAAGTTGACCGGACTGTGAAATCAAGCAGCAGGTATTTAGAGCCCACATGTTACCAGCCTCACGTTTGGATGAAACAGTTATTGAGCAGAAATGACACACTTTTAAAAAAAGTTTCAACAAACTAGCTCACTTCAAGTTTATCAGATATTTTGGGTGTGATGTTCTACCTTCCAGGCCACCCTTGGCTTCCATTCATGTCAGTATACTAAAATCAACGAGGCTTGAAACTTGCTTGAGATAGAAAAATCCATCACAGTTTTCCACCTCAATTAATCCAGGGAAGGTTCACTGAGCATGAAAGCTCTCATCAGCGCCCACCTCCAAAAACCCACAATTACACACAGTCACACCTAGAAGTTACTCTGAATGACCACAGTTTTATCTGCTGGCCACTGAGCAGCTGCACCGGAGCAGATTTGGGGGTTAATTGCTCAAGCGTACATCAGCCAGTCATAAGACTTTTAATTAAAATTAAGTTAATTAGTAAATGGGTACTACTTTGAAAGCTTTTTCTTGTCTGTGTGTTCCATTGCTTTTGAGAAACATCAGTTATCCACAATTTAAAGGTCCATTCTGTAGGATTTAGGGGGATATATTGGCAGAAATTAATAACATTAATAACTATGTTTTCTTTAGTGTATAATCACCTCAAAATAAGTATTGTTGTGTTTTCACTATGTCAGAATGAGCCATTTATATCTACAAACGGAGCAGGTCCTCTTTTCAGAGTTCTCCATGTTGTTTTACAATGGCCCAAACTGACTCTAGATAAAGCCATTTGCATTGTTGTGCTGGCCACAGAAGTTCTCCTACATGCTTGGCACTCAGGCAAAGTTTCAGCTGGTTGAAATCTGCAACCTCACAGCTAGATGCCACTAAATCCTACACACAAGACCTTTAAGAATCGGCTAAAAGTTACCCTCATAAAATGACTACCCCAGTGACACAGTTCTTATCTCAGCATCTATGTGTTTATGTTGTGTACATTCTGACAGCTAAACGTAAATGCAATTTCTCCGGAAATGAACGGAAGCCAAAAACTGCAGACAGGAAATCAATCTATAAATCTGATGTATACTTTGGAAAATGGTAACAGTGATGTAAACTATATGCAATTCAAAGGGGCTGACAATGTCGTTCAAAAAAAAAGAGACAAAAGATAAAAATACAGTCTTACCTGAGTAAACCTGGGAGTCCTTTCTGTCTGTCGCCCACCTTTGTTCGTCTGGCTAAGATTGCTAGGATCAGCATGACGACAAGCTAGGAGGAGAGGAAACATCAGTTAGCCTTATCTGCAGAGCAGCGTGCAGCTGTGGGCCCCCCAGAGATCAGACCACAGTCTGGCTCAGACTAAAAATGAGTTGATGCCACAAAAGGCCAAACCGCGGTGTCTCATTAGTGCTCCCCATGGATGAACTGTCATCAGTCAGGATCACTGACCAGTGAGAGTTCAATGACCTGTTGTGACCTGCGACACATTTAGGAAACACAAGGATGGGAGGAATTGGGTAGGCCTGGGCCAACTACCAAGATAATCTTTGAAGCAGAAATCAGTCAAGAGACAGTGCACAACAAAAAACACTGTTAGGAAAACATAAATATTATGAGAAATAATTAGCACAAATGGTAGTGGTGGTGAACATTACTGGATCTCATAATGACAAGCAGCAACATCTGGGGCTGAAAAATGAAGCCAACATGGAAGTGCCAAAAATTGCAGTTCCATGAATGACCACTTGAGGCTGGCTCCAGAAGCGAGTCAATCAGTATAGACCCCTATGTTAAAAGGCCCAACTTTACAGCCTGTTACAAAAACAGTTTTGGTCTCTATAGCTAATATTATGATTAATGGAAATTGTACAGAGGTGAATATTCATTTAAGTCATCCATTTAAATTGTATTAAGGCTTAAAGTTCTGCATATTAAAGGGTGGGTTCACTTTAGCGACAGGCTGCCTGTGAGACGTCGCCACAGTCTATGAGTCAGACCCACCCCTCGCTCATCAATAGCTCCAGCCTCTTTTCTTGAGATGGTGACGGCCAAAATGCCAAACTTAAAGATTCAAAAAAACCAGTGGGTGATGTCACAATGTCTACATCCATTATTTTATGCAGCCTATGCATAATGGTTGAGTGACAACATTTAACAATATGCCCCTAGAATTACTGCGGTGAATCTAATGCACTCAGTTATTATTATACATCAATTTTTCATTTGTATGATTTGATTTGTATTATGCAACTGGAAATCAATTGGACACCAAATATATTCAAATCAGATACATTAAGTCAACATTTTGGGGCCAGGATCAAAAAGACACAACAGTAGACATATAGACATATTTGGTGATGTGAATCATCCCGTATGCCATGGATCCGTGCCTGGATCTGGATCGAGATCAAAACCATCATTTCTTTGTTGAACAAGGGCCCTTTGATTTCACCAAACTTCATCACCACCTGTTCACAGTTTTTTGAGATGTTCTGCTAATGGCCAAACAAACAGCAATGGCTGAAACATTAACAAGGTTGATTTTAACAGTCAAACCTTGCATAACTTTATCACAAGAACACATCATAAACAACAGCCAGGTGTGATATCATACACCCAGTGAATGAATGACAGTGATAGACAGGGCAGCGTAATGCGTCACATTAAGCATACTTACAGATATCGCAGTGATGCATATGTGGTAGAGCCTGTCATCAGCAGTGGGGTCACATGGAGGGATTATTCTAAAAAAAGGAACAACACATTCACACATGAGCAAAACAATCAAACTTAAGAGTCAAGGATTTGAGTCACCGGGCACACCCACACCTCACTAAACCTTTCACACGTCACCGTCAGGACCATTTGTGGCTGGAAACTTTGCAGCTGAAAATCCCGCAGCAGAGATTTGCATTTAAACGGATTGGTATCAGCGTGACACAGGAAAACAACTAATGCCCTCTGTTCACGTTTCCGTACACTGGAAGAGCAGGAATGCCTGGTCATGGGGTTGTAATTATATCCAGAGAAGGCTATTCTAGGTTGGGAGACTTATTTAGAAAAATACTATACACTGGGTATGATCTGTGAGCGTAGAGATGGCAGCTACCAGAATGGATGTTGTGACATTTTTCACAACAGTCTCTCACCTGTCCAAACAATGTGTGAATTTGTGACTTGGCACTCAGAGAGCAGACGGTTTGTAAATTTAAGGTGATGTCAAAATTCACATTTCAGAGTCAGAGCTGGCTGAGAAGGAGGTGCAGCAGGATGTTTTAGTGTTTACAAATCAGCTGGCTGAAATATAGTGAGCTACATGAAAGCTTTTCATCTCAGCACAACTTATACGTTTACATGACAGCCAGACGGGTTATTAGGTGAACGTGGTGGCTGCTGATAAATTACATTTGCTCCATCGTATTTCTGTCATACTGCTCGTCTGAGGCCATTATTAAATATAATATTTGTCCTATTAATCACTCTCTGCGAATGTTTACATGAAAATGCAATTTACATGTAAGAGAGCATCCCAAAAAGAACTAACTGGGAGTACTGTGTGTGTCCTGTTGCATTGTGGGATGGGACAGGAGCAAAGAATGATGTTTTACTATCAGCTTTGCATCCAGCTTTGCAAGGGACCATGTACTACATCTTCACTTTTCAAGGCTGAAAAAAAGTACAGTAAAAACATTTTAAACAGTGAGTGATTTTAGGTTGAATGCACTTTTATAACTTTTTCTAATACTGGCAAAAGCTACACAACCTGCGTTTTCAAGGCATGAAAATAAGACGGCCTCTGCTGTAATTTGACAAGTGAACTGAGCAGAAACAAGACCACACACTGACACCAGCACTGTAGAAGTTTGCCAAGTGTCACCTAATATCTCAAAGAGAGCTGTATCTCACTGAAAAAAGTTTGATGAAGCACTAATACACGTTAAATGAGTGATTTTTAGACAAACATTAAAGGGATACAAACTTAACTAAGTAGATGATATTTAAGCCTAAACCAACTATGTTAAGTACTCAGAGAGATGGTAAGAATGCACTTACTCTGCTTCAATTTTGGATGGCAAAGGATCCAGGTCAGGGTACTCATAGTCCAGTAGAGCATCCTTATCCATTGTGCTGTCTCTTTTTTAAACAAATCCAAAGTCTCACAAAGCAGGTTAGAGGACTTTTAAGCACAATCTCTGGCAACACACAGCTGCGATCCCCTTGACTCAAGAGATAAAAGTTTCTCCCAAGTCCCGAGTCAGTCTCTGTTGCTGCTGCAGAGGCGTCGCTGCCTTCCTGTGTGTTTGGTGAAGTCTCACACTGTGTTACTCTCCCTCACAGGCTGTATTCAGGTGCCCTCGTTCCACTTTGGAGCTGAGAGTAATGTGACAGGTCCTGGCTGCTGCTTGCTGCCTCCACCCTGCAAAGGCCCTGTTTCAGCTGAGGGTAACCACCACACTGGGATCCTGGTGAAAGAATGAGAGGGGGGCAGTGTGTGAAAGGAGGGAAAACGTTGAGATCTGGGCAGCCAATCTGGAAGGCCACCTGCAGCTTACCGGGATTACATCTACTTTTTGGGTTGTGTTATTGGACGTGTGGCCGGTGGTTGTGGAGGTCAGATGTGCAGAGTTATAAAACTCCAGCTGAGACCAAGTGGGTAGTGGTGAGTGACGACGAGCCTTTCCTATTGGAGCAGATAGCCATGATGATAACAGGGAAATTCTCATGTTGTTCCCCTCAGTCATGGATCGGTTTCATTTGTGAAAGGTTACCAAATGGAACCAAATAAAGCAGGATGGAAGAAACTGCATGCTGTCAGACTAAACCTCACCTCACTACATAACTCTGCACCTTCAGTGTGATAAGGATCAAGGAAGAGGTCATTCAACCCAGTACTTTGTCTTCAGCAGATAAATTAAGATAAAGATGTCCAAGGGTATATTCATGTGGAAACAGCTTTCTAAACCAGATACCTGTGTTTGCCACACTGGTATCAAGTTCTTTTAATATGTTATTTAACATGATTTATCGTAAACGTGACAACAGGTGATTTCCCAATGACAAAACTCATCCTGTAAACAACTGATAAAGATCATACACATACAATGAGAGAATCTATGTTTTCAATGTGATATGAGGACATGATATGTGGATGAATTGGATTTAACAATAGGTACAGTCACACTGCCCTCAGGAAAGGAATTTCATCGAAGCTATTTTTTCATACTGATGGTGTCTTTTGTCAGCTAATGAGGCACGAATAATACCCAACAATAAACTTGGACAACTCTCCATTGTATGGACTTACAAAAGAGAGTAGACGTCAGAATATCAGCCTTAAAGAACAAGTTCAACTTAATGCTGCAAAGTCTAGTGCACTATTAAAGGTTAACTATTTTCCTGGTTAACTGACATCAAAATTGTTAGTTGATTACCTGATAAGTTGAGAAACATAATTGAATCACTGACATTTTTGATAATATATCAATCATTAAATCATTTGCGGAGCAGAAAGAGCAAACGTGTTGTGACTCTAGCTTCTGAAATGTAAGAATTTGCAGCTTGTTTATGTTTTGCACCACTTTTGGTTTTGGACTGTTGCTGAGAAGTTGAGATTGTTATTTGATTTCCTAATTTCTGCCATTTTATAAACCAATTAATCGAGTAATTTCAAGATATGTGCAGATTGATCAACAGTCACAATCCTTTTTGGGTTCAAAACTGAATAAAATCATATGAGATTGTTTGTCTTGTATTTCATATGACAGTGTGACCTGGGTCACACTGTCATATGACAGTGTGACAGTGTGACAGTGTGACCTGGGTCATCTCACCCCACCAGGTTGGATCTTGGCCTCAGAAGCGCCCTGACTCCTGAGTCATGACAAATCTCTGTTATATATTAAGTCTCATCAGAATGTTGCAGCCAACAGGTGGTTCACACACACTTGGGTTGATTTCCACTACATTACAGGTTATCAAGTATTTCTTTCTCCTTCTTCTGAAAAGAGTTAGAAGATCTCAAAATAGGAATATGACTTATGTCTAAGCAGACAGAAAAGCCGAGTTGGGAAGCAGGTTTTTCCTTTTGAATTCGAGAGAATGAATGACAGCAACAGCAGTATAAATATAGAGGTAAAATGCTCACAAAGAGCCTCCAACGTAAGCAAAGCACAAGCATGTGAGTGCTACCAAGACAGACTGAGGTCAAGGGTCATGGCAACACCTTCGCTTGAATTATTTTCTTTATGCATCACGTTGAATTGATAGCAAATGCACTCAAATTTTATGTTTAAGTGCACTACTACATACACAAAAGGGTCCCATGAATCTTGTGCAAAACATCTGCAGAGATCTATTCCTGCCTTCAGCTGCAGCCGGCTGAGACTAAATCAGTTTTGCAACACTGCCTCAGTGTCAGCATAAACTCATTATGCCGGGATTACAGTCACAAAACTTTAAAAAGCAACAAAACTTCCCTCCTAACACTCCTGAGAAAACACGCTTTCTCAAGCATAGTAAGCCACCAAATCAAACGTGTTCCCGAAAAAAGAAGAAAAAAAAAAAAAGCAGCCCAGCAAATAAAGGGGTCACTGAACAAAGAATGCTTTGAACAGTTATAATTACATCACAGAGAGCCACAGTTTGATTGAGCCAGACAGTTCACTTGTATCAGGTTTAGGAAGTTGGCTCGAAAGCCCTTTGGTTGGAAATACATTAAGCATGAGAGCTTGTAAAAACTAACATAATTAAATTACTAATCCATTTTTAACAATCTAAACAGCAACACCATGGATGGCAGCAAGTCAGGCATCCACAAACTGATTAAAAGTGAAAGAGAGTCAGTTAATAAATACCTCCAGTGCTTCAAAACAGACGCTAATACAATAGAAAAATGAAAGCATGAATATAAAAGATGTTGACTCTACCTTTAAAAGTTCTGACCTCATTAGTTTATGACCATCAGAGCTGATAAAATACTGTCAGTTTAGGCAAGGTGACTTCAATATCATCATTCAGGGACATGGAATTAAATGACACTTTATTTTTATTTTGCTACACAACATTACAGTAATGCAGCAGACGCATTATTGGTGTCCTACTTCCCACAGCTGAGCATGCGTGTCTCTGCTTTCTGTGGATGACAGCTGCAGCAGCCAGCAGCTCCTCTGGATTTTGTTTCACACAGACATCATGGACAAATTTCATGCCTTTGAAGTTGAGCTTGATCTCCTGACAACAAAGAGACTTTCAGCCTGAGAGTCACGGCAGGTAACTTAGTCACCTGTGCCTCTGTTTCACGTGCAGGGCCTGCTGCACCACCTCCGACTTACAGGAGGAATTAAACGTGTATTTTATGCGTGTATCACTCGACCTGCGTGCGCTCCTGAAGGGAAACACATCGACTGGCTGTTACAGTGTGAGTGCATTTAACATCAGCTACACTTGCTAATTAGTTTTATGCACTTTGAGATGCGAGGCTACTTACCGACCGCCTCCAGGTGTGCTGCAGCGCCGGGTGGGCGTGGAAGGTGGATTAATGTCAAAGCAGGACCGCTGGCACCAGTAGCTAACTTTATCAAGCGCCAGAAAGTATACAATCTAAATAGGCTGCATTGTTTTGCATTGCCTGGGCATATTAATTTCCCCAAACACCTCCACATTGCAGCCTGTATCCTACACCATGCACTACAGAATGAAATCCTGATCTTACCTTGTGTTCACCTCTCGGTTTGGAGAACTTCAAATGACTTGACTTTTCAGCACTTTCCCACCACACACCCACCTCAGAGAAATAATTACATAAACAAAACAACAATCTGAAGAGCAGCTTTTCTTTCTCTGGACACCTCACATGAAGTGTGTGGTTGGGACTTTGACCGGTCTCTATCTTGTTGTGGTGAGAACATCATAAACATGCTGCTGCATGCAAAGTGAGGGGTGTTGTGGTGTTGTGAAACATATAGAGGTGATTAATGTGGTCAAGTTCAAGTCGAGACTGAGAATTGCTGACATTTTGCAACATGAGAAGTGGTTAAATTTGAATGAATGAATTTTAATGAAATTACAAGCAAACAAAGAGAACACTTCATCATTCGGGTGTGACTCTTTGGATGAAATTAATATTTTAGGCTGCTAAACCAATATACATAGGGCAGATTTAAAGGGGAAGCAGGTGATACACCCCCCTCAATATTTAGAATGTGCAATAGTCTCATTTATTGCAAAAACTGATGCAGAAAAGGCACAAGTTGGTGCAATGAAGTCACCAGAATCCAGGAAATTAAGTGTTTGCCGCTAAAAAAAAATTAGCGGAGGACCCCAAACCCTCCTGATTCATATGGGCCCCCTCCCAATATTGAATCACAACTTACACCCTTGCCAATACAAGGGGTGACTGAAAAGTTTTAAGCCTCCAGGAAACACAACAAGATAACATAATCCCCCCTCGGGAGCAACAAGGGCTGAAGCGCCTTTGTCCCAGTGGAAAAGAACTTCTCAGGTTGGGACCCAGCACCTATCTTCAACACTCTCCCTGCCATGCTTGAATGCCTGTACCCAGCATTTGACTGTGGCACATGAGGGGGTGTTGTCATGTAAAGTATTGAGCATATCTTGGTGGATTTCAGATGGTTACATTCCTTTGAGATGAAGGTATTTGATCACAGTGCGATACTCCATTTTCAACAAATCACTGACCACTGTTCACTTCAAGAATCTGCAAAAATAAAACAAGAGTTCGAAACATGAACATGATTAATATAATAAGGAAAGGTGGTAGGTTATAAAAAATATCATTTGGCATTAACATTGTGTCTCAATGTTGTGTATTCAGTGACCTTTGTGACAACCTGCTGGGTTTTTTTGCTCTGTTGCAATTTCAGGCCAAAGATGGGATAGTTCCTGCCATAGTTGCATCAACATGCATTAACCAACCCCAAAATGTAGGCTTGATGCTGAAACACTGCTGTCACTGGGTTAGAGCAGGATACACCCTGGACAGGTTGCCAGACTATCACAGGGCTGACACATAGAGACAGGCAACTATTAACGCTCACATTCACACCCACGGCCAATTTAGAGTCACCAGTTAACCTTCATGTCTTTGGACTGTGGGAGGAAGCCGGAGTACCCGGAGAAAACCCACACTGACACCAGAAAACCCTCTTGCTGTGACGCGACAATGCTAACAACTGCATCATTGTACTGCCACCCCATCACAGAGTCTCATCACAGCAGAGGGAATGAGGCAGAGGTGATGACTGTGAAGTTCATCAGCACAGAGGCTGACATTGTGAGAGGTTAATGTCAAAGCTGGTGAGAAATTCTTTGCCATACTTATCAATTTCTGCACTGCATCCTTCTGTAAATGCACTGTCTGGTGTTCAGGCTGGTGCTCACTGTGTCCCCTCATGAAGTCTTGTTAATAACATCATTAACTCGTTTTTTTTGTAGCAGAGAGTGCTCTGTGATTCCTAAGGGAGATGGGTTAAGCTCTATCCAAGTACCAGTTCTGGTGTTACACTAACACCAGAGACATTCATACAGTATATCTCATTTCTCTGGAGTTTTCCAAACCAGGTGGAAAAATCTTATCCCCTCAAATCCAGCCACACATACAAGTGGAGCTTGTTATAATATAAAACGTCACCACTAAAATAAGCTTCTTGTTGTTTTGGCATTATTAAATCAGGATTGTGTGCACAAAGATGCCCTTTACAAATGCGTTTTAGCTACCAGACTCCACTGTGTTTCACTGCCTCTCATTATAGAGCAGGGACAGGGACTGTCTGTATTGACCTCACAAATTACAGTCTGTTCATATCAACAGCATCATTAGTATTTTAGGATTTTAACTTCAGGGCTCAGACCTGATAACTGTGTGTCAATTAGTCTGAATTCAAGAGCTAATTGTTATTCTTCTCCTGTCTAGCATCCTGCGGCCAACACTGAAGTAGAAATCTCAAGTGTGGGCCTTTTATGCATCCTAAAGACTCGAGACTTGTTCTTCCGTACACCAAAGATGATCTTCTTATGACCTTTCCATAAAAGCAAGTGAGTACATCCTCCCCTGACTGCTGTTTCCCAGTGACTCAAAATAACTGGAGGAAGCAGAGTAATCATACCATGAGGACAAGCACACCATCATAATTATTAACCAGCTGACTCTGGTTTTTATTTGGAAAACATGTAACTGAGTTAGCAATGTGCCATCACAGTGTCCTTCTACAGAGAATGAATTTGATTCTGCAGCAGGCATTATTTTAAGTACACTTCGGAGATTGCAACAACACAGTCTACTTTTGATTTAAGATGCCTCCGATGAATAAAACAAATGAAATTGCATCTGCTCTGAAATTCCGACGTTTCATTGTTGGCAAAGTCAATTCAAATTGAGTAATATTGAGAAATATTGCCTCAGTATTAAATCATGGCTCCTGAGGGCCTCCTGGGTGCAGGGGGCTAATTACTGGGGATATTTTTCCCCGGCTCAGTCTGCTGCACTGCCTCTGTCATAATCAATGAGCCTTGTAACACTCAATTAGAACATAATTGGATTTGCGTGTGTTCGAGGTGGAAAAACATGTACATTTGAGCGGACATGAAAGAACTGCTTATCTCAGTTGACAGCTGTAATTAAGTTGAATTGGGTCGGCCAATTGTAAATTTCAGAAAGATTCAGTCAGTGTAAGCATATTCCAGCACATCCCCTCCCACCCTACACCCAAATGCCTCATGTTTGGTTTTGTTAAAAACCAGCTTAGATTTACATTTTAATGTTTAATTAATAATTTACACATTGGGCACATGGCCTCAACTAAATACAGTGAATCCATATGTGTTTGTCACATTGTTGTGTGCAGTCTGGTTCAAGTGGAATAATATGACATTAGTTGATAGTAAATGTACACAGAAAAACCACAATCATGCTGTGAAATGGAAGTTTAACCTGTTTTGTGTGAGAAACTACAATAATGCTGCGTCTATTGTGCTTAATTTTTTAATTTTTCAAAAGAAGATAAAACTGTTTTCAGACGTAAATTTGTAATAATGGTGTCTAAGTTGAAGCATTTCAGTGGGTGTCTCCATGACAGTAGCTGGCCAACATTTGAGGGCCAGTATTGCTAGGAAATGCACTACCATGACTGTATAAAATAGTGGATGTGGAGGAGTGAGGGGAGGGATCTAACTCACAGACTTTAGTGATGCCTCATAGATAGCTTCTCGCTCAAAGCAGTCCCAGCCTTAAATATACCTAATTTTAAGCCTTAATAAAATGTCAACGGGTGATTTATATAAAAATGAATCCCTGTACAGTTGTCATGAATGTTGAAATTAGTTTTAGAGACCAAAACATATTGTGTATCAGGCTGTAAACATGTTTATTGCTGCTGTAAATTTTTGCATTTTAATATGGGGGGCCTACGGGGATTGACTCGCTCTTGTAGCCAGCCTTAAGTGGCCATTTTAGGAACTGCAGGTTTTTTTGCACTTTGTCGTTGGCTTCATTTTTCAGCTCTGGAGGTTGCAGCTTTTTCACTACTGAATGCAACATGTTGTGGCTTTTTATAGCTAACCTGGGAACCAGACAAATCCATTAGCTCATGTTTTATTTGCTCCAGCAGATGCTTCTGGCCCCTCTTCCGTTCAGATTTCCAGCCAACCTGGACCTGGTTGGGCCAATTACAACTGTTTAAATCTAGTTAGTGGGATGTGTTTCAGATGGTGACTGACAATTTGCAGACCCTTTGTGCTTTAGGCAAAATTTTTGGCTCATGCACCCTAGCGCCGTGGACACTATGGCGAGCATAAACCTAGCTTAGGACAGAGACAGAGCGCCATTAAGGCTTTTCTGAAAACAACCAAGATAGCTGCAGTTGATGTGGAGCCTCCTGTTGAAGAAGTATTTTCAAACTCTGATGGCAAAAACAGCAAAATTCATTCACAGACATATTGACGCTCCACCATCAGAGCTCTTCTCTGCACGCTGTAGTCTGTTTACATTCATCTGTCAGTCAGTGTTATGTCATTTTTTGTTGCTCTGATTGGTAGTAGGTCTATTGCTCTGATAGGTTGTGGCGATGCCAGGCTAATGTAGGCATACTAACATCAACACACCCCCTTTTTAAACCGGCTCACATACTATTAGAGTACTAATAGAGCTAAAACGTCTAACCCTTACAACAGTCAACATTTGGGAGGCCCTGGTGTGCTGCGGACTTTTCGTCTCCACTCAGAGAGTTGGACGTAACATGCTAGGCTAACTAGCTGCCTCTCCCCCTCTCCAAGCTAATGAACTGCCAGTGTGGCCTTTGGAACTGAAGAGATATTACAGACTAGTTTTATGAAGATAATAAACGCAGTCAAATTAGCAGTATAGACAGTGACATTTGGAACAAAGCATACACACCACCTGGAAAACCCCAGTGTAGGTGGAGCTAAGTAAATACAGTTTAAATGTCTTCTTTTTGGTGATGACAATTTTGGCAAATTGAGCACATGAGCCAAATAAACACCAGTATACAGTTTCTACTGTTTTGTTAGCAATAATGCATGTTTGACTTTAACAGAGGTGATTAGTGTGATTAAATCTGAAACACTTTCTGGTACTGTAATGGATTTTTATAATATTGCACATTGACATGTAAGGTTGAGTGAACCTAAACAGCCACTAGGAAAAAAAAAAATCAATTTCAGTCCTATGGGTCGTTTCTGTTTTGATATATTGCTGTTATTGTTGTAGGCCGGGTAGTGAAAGATTTATCTACCAGCTTATGAACACTGAAAATGGGATGTTATATCTAAGGAGCCTGTGACAAGTACAAATCTTCCTGATAGTTATTAAAGTGGTCATGATC